CACCATTTTATCACACAAGATAATGGGAAATCCATGCCCTGGAGGAACAGTTGAATGACAAGATACGATGTCATGAAGTTCAGGACCTCAAGTTAGCCAAAGCGTGGAACTTGAAATTTGTTCTTTGCTTTCATTAAAGCTCCCTAGATTGAGTCCTGGCCAGGCATAAAGTGCCTCTAGTGGACAGTCTATTAAAAGGACACCACTTGAATATTTTATAGGGTCTCCAAAGTCTTATTCCACTTTCTATTAATAACAGCCTAAATCTGAAATGATTTCATTTCTATTTATTTTTCATTCACGTGTATAGCTATGAACTTATGAGCTAATCTTTGTCAATGACAAATAGGTTTTCTTTTTTATTGTTATTTATAAAAAAGGATTTCAGGGAACATTTAAATTTTCTGGAACTTAAATGGGCAACAGTTTCAATACTGAAACTTGATTATAATTTTTATTCTTAATTTTTAAAATTTTACAGTAAAGGAAGGAAATACTCTGAACAGACTTAAAACCTCCATGGACATTTTTTTTTTTTAATCATCACCCAAGGATATTTTTTTCATTGCTTTTCAGAGAGAGTGGAAGGAAGAGAGAGAGGGGGAGAGAGAGAAACATCGATGTGAGAGAGACACATCAATTGGTTGCCTCCCACACATGCCCCAACCAGGGCCGGGGATAGAGCCTGCAACCGAGGTACATGCCCTTGGCTGAAATCGAACCCAGGACGCTTCAGTTGGAGGGCTGATGCTCTAACCACTGAGCCAAACTGGCCAGGGCTGGACATTTTTTAACATCTTAGTATCAGCAAGTATTGGTTACCAGGGAAAGTCCCTCTCTGGTCCCTTTTATGATTTACATCATTTTCATAATAATTCTCTACTTAGATAGTCTTCCCCCTCAAGTGAACCTCATGTTCAAGTCCCATCACGGCAGTTTTTGTCCATTGACAGTGGAAGACCTGAGGAGTGGCAGTGGCTGGGATTGTGTGCACCTGAGGACAGGAGCTTCCCACTCTGCAGTTAACGGGACACTGTTTACCTGTGGCCTGTGGGAAGCCCTTGCCCACCCTGGGCCTGAGGTTCCCGAGTATAAAATGAAGCATGTATGTCAAATCGTCTTCAGGGTCCCCCTGGCCCTCGGATGTCCTGTGATCTGTTAGAATGGTGTGAATATGGAACCAGATGTGTGTGCCNGTCCCCCTGGCCCTCGGATGTCCTGTGATCTGTTAGAATGGTGTGAATATGGAACCAGATGTGTGTGCCTGGATGCTGGTTTAACTTGGCCGTGAGCAGTCAAATCCCTGCTTTTCTCTTGGCTCCTGGAGTCACGCATGAAGGGCTGGCAGCAAAGTGTTTAAGGCTGTGGTTGGTATTTTCTTTTCTCACATTTGGGGATTATTTGCCCCTGATAGAATACTGGCGAGTGGCTAGAGGGTTTGATTTCCCTGACGCCTCTCCATACTCACCTATTCCTGACTCCGGCAGTCGTTCCAGTGCCAATCACCAGCTTTCTATATTTACCAGCAGCTGCTTCATGATGTGGAAACAATTTTCTCAACAGCTGAAAAACACGAAGCTAGAGAGTATAGAACGTGTTGTTCTTATCAAGGAGCCTAGTTGGAAGGAGCGTGGAAGGGGTGAACAGTCCAGCACAAATTGTTTTGTCTCTGCAGAGAGGAATGAATGGGCAGCCCCTGTGGAATACCCCAGAATCCTTTGCATCTGCTGATGTGGCCAGCAGTCTCCTTTCTAGGCGGGTCTCTGCTGATTTGCTTGATTTATGTCTTAAGGTTTGGGATGCAGAGGCTCGCGGCAGCCTCTTCCAGCCCAGCCTTGGCAGCTGGCTGGCCCTAGGCATTCACATTCGGTGACTCCCTCTCTGTAAACCACTATCAAAATCAGCTGCAGAAAGTCAGTCCTCCATGGGACACCGCAGGGCATGAAGGACACCACCCGTGAGTCCGAAGCTTCCAGACTGCCAGGCACTTGGACTAAGTGACGGTGAAGTAGATGGTACCGCGTGGGTCTGTAAAGCTCTCCACAGTGCCTGGTTCACCAAAAGCCCTCAGAGAGAATGACCCGAGAGGTTGTTGTTGCTCTCAGATCGCCTCGGCTGCTTCCAGAGCTCTGGGACATTTGGACATTAACGTGCTTGTAAAGAGAGCAAGACTTGGCCCAGCCCATGTGGCTCAGCGGTTGAGCATCGACCTATGATCTGGGAGATCGCGGTTCGATTCCCGGTCAGGGCACATGCCTGGGTTGTGGGCTCGGTCTCCGGCGGGGAGGCAGCCGATCAGTGACTCTGTCTCATCATTGACGTTTCTATCCCTCTCCCTTCCTCTCTCTGAAATCAGTAAAAATATATTTTTTAAAAAGAGAGAGAGCAAGACTTGGCATCAGGAAACCCGGTTTTTAGCCCCGTTCTGTGCCAAGGAGAAGGAAACCACATTGAATGGGCAGCCTGCACCAGGAGCTCTGAGTGCTACGCAAAGCGCTTTACAGCGCAGGGTCTCTCCTTTCCTGGCAATCGAGGAAGTAGGTCGGCATTTCACAGATGAAAAAGTGAGAGTTCAGAGAGTAATTTCCCCGCCTCAGTGTCCAGATCTTCCTAATTCTGTAGCCCATGTTCTTACCTCCCACGTGCCTTCCATCTCCCTAGACCTCACCTCTGTGCAGGGGGAGACCTCGAGCAGCTGTGCCAGCCACTCTGAGCCCACTGCCTTCAGTTGTAGAATTGGAAAGTCATCTCTCAAATCTATTTTCTACTTAAAAAAATTTTATCAACAAGCCGCTTCCTTATTACTTTAAATCTTTACTGCCATCTAGTGGGCATGCTGTACTCAGAATAATAAAGGAAAATTTTAGTTCAGCTTGGATTAAAAACTGTAAATTCATCTTACGAACATACTGTGTTTCTAACCTTTAAAAAGTGTATTTATAAACACACACTATGGTCTCCCGTTTTCATCTTTATAGTAAACTACTAGATGTGAGATCCCCTTTCTAAGATTTTTGGCAAGATGCTGGGATACATATAAACCCCAGCTTTAAAATAAGTAAGTAATGCTTTGTGACCGGTATGATCCACACTCAGCTTATAATGGACTATATGTAAAGAAATTCTAATCTGCAATATTTATAACTTATATGGCAGATATGTTTTTAACTTTATAAATATTTACTCATCTGTTTGCATTCTCATGGCAAAAACAAAAATTAAATTTCACAGAGGTTGTGAAGTAAAAAGTAAAGTCCTTCACAGAAGGGAGTGTCTTTAAGAATTCTTATTTTTTTTAAAGAAATGTTCATTCATATACAAGCATATGTGCAAACGCGCACATACCTTTTTGTTTTTACTATTTTTCTATTCATGAGCTGGTACTATGCATATTTTCTTTTTCTTATTTTATTGTGGACATCTTTCCATGTCTGCAAGCAAATCTAAGCAAATCTACCCCATTCTTTAACAGCACACAGTGTCCCATTATTGACTATACTATGATTAATCTTCTGGTCCCTGGTTAATGTCCAGATAGGCTACTTTCAGTTTTGTTGTTATAAAAATACTTTGGGAAATGCCTGTATATTCTTCAGGGAACACACACACTTTTGAAAATTTATTTGCAGAATGAAATCTTAGACATGAAATTGCTGGGCCTAAAGGCTTGTTAATACCTATTGACCAGAGATCACCAGACATACATCTGTAGCCAAAAAAAAAAGGTCAGATTTACTTAAACTACAGCCAGGGAGACAAGCACCTCTGGATAGTGTTTCGAGAAACTTTTATAGGATTTGGGCTAGTGCCGGGTAATTTTAGGGGGGATTCAGGGAGTGGGAGCAGTCCTGGGTTGGGTGTTGTTAAGAAGCAGGAGCAGGTCGGTTATTGGGCATCTTAATTTTTCTAGGAGAATTAAAGTGGGCTAAAGATGTCCTTCGTAACTGAGCAGCCTTCGCGGATGCAGTCAGAAGAGGGCACGTTTAACCATTTGTGTACCCAGTGGCCCTGTCTGGACATTGCTTTATTCCTTGAGTGCTTTTTATGATCATGTGGGGACATCATGGCCAACCTGCCGACAGCGTTTTCTTTCACTTCCTCAGATACATTGGTTTCAAATGTGTGTAGATGTTTCCGTGGCTTCTAAAAAGGTTGCACCCATTTACATTCTTCTGGATTCTTTAAAAGACTCCACTTCCCTGAAAATGATTTCATAATCAGAATAATAATGGAAATAATGATAACAGCAAATGTTTCGAGAGCCACCCCTGCATGCCAACCACTATGCTGAATCCATCGCTTCGTCGCCTCCCCCGGGAGGCTGGAGAAAAGCACTGGCAACATCCCGGCTTCCACGCGAGGAAACCGAGGCTCAGAAAGCGGGAGAACCAGCCGGGTCACGGGACTAGCCCACGAGGCGTTGAGCTGGGCGCAGAACCGGCTCATTCCAGGGCCCACGCTCTTTGCCACGAGAAAACACTTTATCCGCTCCACGGGAGTCTGCCCAGGAGAACCTAAAGCTGGGGAGTTAGCCATTTAATTGATGATGACAGCTTTTGGAGGGTTGGGTTTAGGTTGATGAGGCAGAAGAGTCCTGTTTACAACAATGAGACTTGTGAGTGGCATTCCAGGGATCACACGTATCGCTAAGCGGGGCATCAGCCTGAGGGCTTCCCTGCTCCCCCATGTCCTGAATGAATAAAGGCCTGTGGGAGCTTTCCCAGAGTCAAGGCCAAGACACTCTCCTTAAATAGTCTCCGGGCCAGCTGGAGCGCAGAGGGTCTCGCCCGTCCCCCAGGATCCACGGTGGTTCATGACGCGTGAGGATGGGGCCTGCGAGACTGCGGGGAGAGACTGTGCGGGGAAGGAGCAGAATGAGATGGTGCTTACGGAGATATTTATTGAGCCTGAGATGGGGGCACACGGGGTTCAGAGCTGGCCGAGCGCTTGACTTTAGCACAATGAACGTGTAGTAACTGCCGCCCGCTGCTCTCTTCCAGACTGTGCCGGCTGCGGAAGGGACATCAAGAACGGGCAGGCGCTGCTGGCGCTGGAGAAGCAGTGGCACTTGGGGTGCTTTAAATGCAAATCCTGCGGGAAGGTCCTCACCGGGGAGTACATCAGCAAGTAAGTGAGGCTGCGGCCTGGGGGGCCCCTCTGGCCCCTGCTCGGAGGGCCCCACCCCAACCCATCGGGTGTGAGGGAAGACATCCACGCCCTGCAATCAATAGGAACTTTTGGCTATGAGACCCATGCAAGGAGTTTTATTCCTCTGCGTCTGCCATAGTTTGCCTACCATAAGTGTAATGAGATGTTAATCACTGCCCAATTTAACAATTAACAAAGCTGGTGTAATATGTTGTAACCGATGGAGCATGCAGTAATTTTACCTCCGCTAATTTCCCCCATTTGGCTCTAGCAAACCTTTGTTCTCCTTCCAGGTTTTGAACGTATTTGTAGACACACACACACCCCCCCCAAGTCCCCCAAGAACACACAGCGTCTGGGCACTGAGCCCGTTACGGTTACCTTTTGAGTTAAGGAAGAAAGACTGAGCATGGGGGTGGGGAGGCAGTGGGAATGAGGGAAGGATTTCCCCTATATGCTCTTTTTATGCTTTAAAAAATATCCTCCAACCAGAGGAAATATATCAGCTGTTCAAAATAAATAAATAAAATGAGTCTAACTTAGGGATATAGCAAAACAAACCAAAAGCAGTTTGGGCCCCACCTTCCGAAAAGCTAACTCTGTAGGTCTGGGTGAAGCCGGAACACCTGGGAAGACTCCACAGGTGGCTCTGACGCACCGGCAGCCTTAGGCGAGGCAAACGCTCGGCCTTGAAGCGCACACCAAGGGCTGGGCGGCGGTAGATTGTCCAGAGCGGTGCTTCTTAACTTTGCTGAGGTGAGGGAAGGAGGTGGCGGGGCCTGGATGAGAAGGCCCGGGCCCCTCGGGCCTCCTGGAGGCTGAGGCTCTGGTGTGTGGGCGCAAGGAGGGGTCAGGGGAGGCAGCACGGGGGCCTCAGAGAGAGGGGACCGCCAGGACCACGTCTGCAGCCCATCGGGCCTGGTGGCGACGGAGAACCAGGCCTTTGCTAGTGAGTCTGGGACAATGGCGGGACAGGCGGTGGGGAGCACTCGGTGATCTGGCCGTTACATCTGTGTGGCCCAGAGAACCACAGCTCTGTCTCCGGATCGTGTGGTCCCGTGGGCCCTGCTCGTGTCCGACCAGCTCTCCTGGCACGTGGGCGCTGGGTGGGAGAGAAACACGGTCCCCGAACAGGGCTCAGAGAAACGCGTCTCGGTGGCTTCCCCGCCTGGGCCTCGTCTCGGCAGCTGAACTCTTTGCCTTGCAGGGACGGTGCCCCGTACTGCGAAAAGGACTACCAGGGGCTCTTTGGGGTGAAATGCGAAGCCTGTCACCAGTTTATCACAGGGAAGGTCTTGGAGGTAAGTGACAGACGGGCTGCCCTCAAAGCCACCGTCTTGCTCAGAGGCCCCTGAAACGCGCGAGGGTCCTTCTGCACCGTTTCCTCGCCATGGAGGGAAGGAGGTAGCTGGAGCTGGCTCGGCCCTTAGAGAATCAGCGTGTTGTCTGTCTCCACAGGCAGTTTCTTCTGACTGTTCACGTGGACATCGGGGCGATGGAGACGTGAAGGGGAGGAAAGAGTGATAAGGGGCCTATTAGGAATTATGTGAAAGGGAGGGTTGTATTGGACTATTTTTATTTTTAGAAGCCAGAAAAGGGGAAATGAAGAGCATGATAGAGCCACGTGTCTGCGTGTGTGTACCTGTGTGTATGTGCGTATACGCGTGTGCACTCACATGTGCCTGTGGGAGTGTGCGTGACGTGTGTGCTCTTGCGATACATTTGCACACCTGAGCCTGTACACACTCAGGCAGCAGAGGCTCAGAACTGAAGCTAAGAAAAGAAAGGGTGGATGGAAGTGAAGGCATGGACGCCCCCGCCCTGAGAAGTGACCCAGAGCGCCCTGCGGCCCAGGCTGAGCTGACGCCTGTCAAGTTCAGGTGTGCCTGGCTCGCGCCCGTGAGCTCACTTCCTGCGTCCCCAGCCCCCCAGCCTCTGCCTCGGGCTGAGCCGAGCTCCCCTGGAGCTAGAGGCCATCTGTGGCTGGGAATCACTGCAGTTCCTCACTTCTCACAGGCCTGGGGGTGTTGACCAGTTGTGATGGGAAAAGCAGAGGCTGCCTCATAGCCGGCCCACAGTGCAGGGTGGAGAGTGCTGAGCAGGGCTGAGTCAGGACGCCCAGCAGCTGCGAAGGGGACCGACTGGTCCTGCAGCTTGTCACACCTCCTGGGCAGACACTGGGCCGCTGAACCCACGTAACCACACTCAGACTTCCCAGCAGGGCGGGTTTCATAGACAGGATGAAATCCTAGAGGCCCCTGAGGTGTCTCGGGGCAGGTTCTGTGGGATTTCTCAGCGAGGTCCAGCCTAGCCTTCCTGGTCCCACAGCGAGCTCTGAGATGCCTCTCTGTCCATAAACCACAGAGGCCTGCATTGGCTCTGCTGGGAGCTAGTGCAGCTTAGATTTGAGAAAGAGCTATTGTCAATACACTTGCCTCTTACCCAGGGGAAGGGTGTTCCAGGAAGAGGGAACAGCCTCTGCGGAGGCTCAGAGGTGAAGTCAAAAAGTACAGCAGGAGCAGGAAACCAAGTTAGCTGGGCAGGAGTGCAGATGTGAGATGATGCTGAGGAGCGGGGAGGGGACAGAGTGGGAGGACCCCGAAGGTCACATTCAGGAGTTTGGGCTTTATCCTAAGAGGAGTGGAAGCGACTGAAGTCATGGTAGCTGGAGCGTCACGTGACTGGATCAGATTTTGGTATGAAGAATAGCTGGGAGGACTCACTTACATGGACACCCATGTTTGCAGCAGCTCTGTTCACAACAGCCAGGTGGGAGCAACCCAGGTGTCCACGGATGAGTGGATGAACAAAACGTATGTATACAGACAATGAAACATTAAAAAGAAGGGATTCTGACACAGGCCACAACTCAGGTGAATCTTGAAAACCTGCTGAGTGGGAGCAGCCAGTCACAAAAGGCCTCCTCCTGTGTGACCCCGTGTGGAGGAAATATCCAGAATAGGTAAATCCATAGGGACAGAAAGCAGGTTAGAGGGCGCCCGGAGCTGGGGGAGGGGGGAGGGGGAGTGATTGTTTATTGATGCCCAGTTGGGGTGAGGCTAATGTTCGGGAACTGGGTAGAGGTGGCAGCTGCACAGTGTGAATGTCCTAAATGCCATAAATCGTTCATTTTAAAATGGTTAACTTTATGTTATGGGCACTTTGCCTCTTTTTTCTTTTTTTAATGGATGGAAAAGGGGTGAGAGTGGAGGCAGGGAGGCCAGTTAGGAGATGACTGCAGAACTCTGGACACAGAACAGTGGTGGCCTTGGCTGCAGTGAAACTGAGAAGGGGACCCCAGCCCTAATCTCTGCCTCCGTCTCACATGGCCTTCCCTCTGTGTTCTCTCTGTGCAAAACTCCCTCTGCCATTCTCTGAGGACACTTGTCATTGGATTTACATCCCACTCAGATCTTCCAGGAAGATCTCAAGATCCTTAGCTGAATTATATCAGCAGAGACCAAACAGTCACAGGTTTTAAAGATGTGATCTTTTGGGGGGACCACCGTTCAACCCCCTCCAGTAAACCTGGAAACTCACACAGGTATTACCCCAGTGAGGGCTGAAACTCTGGTGTGCGAAAAATGAAACCCTTCCTAAGCATTGGAGGTGCCCTAAGGCAGCTTTTCTGGGTACGGTTTCACCTGAGATGCCGCTGGGTACCGGAGGGAGCTTTGAGAGGAGAAACGTCACTGGGCGGTTATCAAGAAGCTCCGTGCTCAGCTATGTCACTAATCCCTGAGTAATTCTGGACAGGCCATTCAGCTTCTTAGTTGAGACTGTTGTCATTTCACAGTAAAGGGAGTGGCATGTAACCTCTGAGACTCTACCCTGATCTAAAATTCTATTTCCCTCTGTTATTCCTTGGTAGTCATAAAACCTACCCATCCCATTGGCTTGAAGGGTTGAGGGGTGGGGAGTAGAGCCTTCACATGTTTTAATGAAAAGGGCTCTGGGTCGTAGGGGATCAGAGATGTATTTTTGGCTCTGGGACTCACAGCTATGTGATCTTGGGCAACTCTCTCAACTTCTTTGAGCCTCCGTTTTCCTTAAATACAAATATTAAAAACATATGTGTCATTTCAAGCCAAGGACCACTTGACTCCTCGAGTCTCTTGGTTCTAAGGATCTCAGTTCCATAATTCCCACGTGTTGTAGAATCTCAGGGATCAGAGCCAGCGGTCCTTTCTTGCGAGATTTTCTGGAAACTGGCATGTAAAGTCAGCATATAGCATACGCTCAAACTGAAGGTTTATCTCTCATTAGCTTGCTTTCAGTTTTGTTTTCGACAACAAGATTCTCTTTTAAGAAGGATCTTACTATAAATGGCACATTTTTGAAAGCTTATGCTAATTATCAATTCAGGAGCATTCTGGTGCTGTTTATACCCTGCCTCCTAAATAAGAAGTTCAGATAGTGAGAGAAGCTGGAGTTTGCCAGCTTCTGCCAGTCTCCACACCCACCTCTGAGTTCTCTGAAGCCACCTGCCTTCTGCCTTGCTCCCCTCCCCCTTCCTGGCGGTACCGGAAGCTTCAGACTCAGGTCACAGACGTCAGCAGAGCATCCCTTTGATATGAATTTCCTTCTGTCTTTGGGGGATGGTCCTAAGAGAGCTCTGACCCCAAGAAACTCCCTTTCCTGGGCGTAGGTGGTTACCTGCCAACCTCATGAAGAAAGGAGACAGCAACAAAACAGTTCCAAAATGAAGGGGGGGGGCAAACCTCAAACTGGAAACAGAAACCTTGAGGGTAAAGGAAAATGGCTCGTCCCGAGGCCTGTCCCTCAATCTTGGGGGGTTCCATCAGCTGGCCAAGGGCGGACTTCTCTCAGTCTCTCTGGTCTCTTGCACAGCTCGCTTCCCCCGGGGGCTCCGTGTTTACTCAGCTCTCCGCTCATCCCTTCTAGACAAATGTTCCCGGCCGTGCCCCCCAGGAAGCCTGGCTCCCTCTGCAGATGGTGCCCCTGGGCGGGCACCTGCCGCCCCCTGTGAGCTCTTCTCTCAGGAGCTGTGCCGTCTGCGTCCTCAGCTGGAGGAGGGCGGGACGGCTCTGCTTTCCCTGCTCGGGTCCCATAGGCTTTTCCTTTCCCTTCTAACTCAGTCACCGCACCCAGAAAATCAGGCCTGTCTTTTCCAAAAGGCGGGTGGCACATGTCTTCAGGTGGCGTGGTATTTAGTGTGCCATGCGTGCTCCCCGGGGAGGAATGTGTCACCAGGTCAGTAAGGACGTGTACAGGGCCCAGCGTGGGAGAGGCCCTCCAGTGTGGCCCTGGCGAGTCCTCCAGCGCCCCCAAGGCCTCTGCATTCAGCCCTGCTGGGCGGCACTGTCCTGCCTGTATGTTGCAATGGAAACGATGGATGGACGGAAGGGCAGGATTTAGGCTCTCTTTAGACCCCGCCTGCTGAACTCCTGCAGAGGGGGAAACAGGCTCACAGCACGACCCTGCTGAATCCTTCCCTTGCTGCCCTGAAGGCAGCTTGTTTTACTTTTTGACTAAAACTGCTCTTTCATCAAGCCCAGAGACAGCGGCTGCTGCTGGTCCCCTGACACTGATTCTTGGTGTATACTGGAGGCCCCGTCCCCTGCCTTCTCTTGGCTGTAGGGGCTTTAAGCGTGTTATGCTGTATCACCCATAAGCAGAGAGCAGGTCTTGTCCTGGGCTAACCCGTGTGATCTGATGAGAAGACACATGGGTTACCCCATGGCACTTGCGTGACATGCAATCTTTTCTGTCACCATCGAAGGTGTCATTTGCAAAAGTCAGGCTGATGACAACTCCTCCCTTGTTTTGTGCATATCGTATACATGCAAAACAAAAATAGTGACCCATATTCATGCAGAAAATGAATCGCAGGCTTCTCACCCGCTGCTCAGAGATTTCGTGCCTTCTTCCCCTTACCTGTGGACATCCTTGAGGCTCAGGGAGGAGAAAAGAGCCGAGTGATCTTGCTAGATTGATTGAGACGGTCTGTCCCGGCGGACAGGGAGCCGCCACAGCGCCCTGCTCCTGTACGTTTTTAACGTTTGCAAATATTCTCGTAAACATTTTATTCTCCCAACAAGCAGTTACTACCCACCCCATTTATAAATGAGGCTATGGAGTGCCAGAGGCTTGGGGGCTAATTAGAAACAGAATCATGATGAGAAGTCAGGCCTCGCAGTTCTCAAACCAGGAGCACACACACTCACACTCACACACACTCATACACTGCTTCATGTCCACTTGGCAGAAATCATCGCAGAAAACAAGTAATTAATTTGCCTCCCAGAATAACTTGCTGGAGGACCAGACTTGACCATGC